AAAAAAAAAAAAAAAAAAAAAAAAAAAAAAAAAAAAAAAAAAAAAAAAAAAAAAAAAAAAAAAAAACTCGCATCAATGAGCTTTGTCGGCGCGAATGGTAAGAAAAAACAGTTAACCTGCTGACCTGGGTCAATTAAAAGCGTTAATTAGTAGAGTTTTTTTTTTTTTTTAAGTGAAATTATTGTTTTTTAATACATATATAGGTTAATTATTTAAATATTTATTCGATAATTATTGTCCTCCAATTAAATTATAATATTAATATACGAGTTTTCAATTATTTAAATATTTATTCAATAAGTATTGATCTCAAATTAAATTACAATCGAGTTTTTGTAGTTGTAAATAATAGATCTACAACATATTCAATATTTTTTAAAATAAGATATTCTTTTATATAAAAAATTAATTTTATAAACTAAAAAATAGTGAAGTTTTCGATCCAAAATTTAAAAATTCAATGATTTACTTGACATAAAATTAAAAATATTTGAATATATAAAAAGTTTAAGAGTTTCTTATAATTTTTTTAATTTTAAGTACCTAATTAATACTATTAAACTTGCCATTAGTGTTACGTTTAGTTTAATAGGCTTTTGGAAAGTACTAGCAAACTCATAATTTTTTAATTTCAATATTCTTTTCATAATTTTTTTAATTTCATTCTTTTTCTTGAATGTAAATTTGACTTGGGAGTTTCAACGATATTTTTCAGCATGATTGATTGTCTTCTTGGATCAACCATTGACTTATTGATTTGATTTGATTTGATATAATTTCCTCCACGTGTTAATACTTTTCTGATCAATCATATTTGTTGGTTTACTTAGGTTGACTTTTGATTTTGTTGGTTTTCTTGAATCAACACTGTCTGATGATATTTTTCATAATCTTTGATTTTCTGATGCTTATAGATCTACCATTGACTTAATGTCTTTTAATAGACAATTTTGACCTTTTCATATTTACATAGGCATTACAATTGACTCAAAATTAATAGGATTTAAACTAAAAATACGTAAAAGTTTAACGCTTTTCACATAGTTAATTCAAAATTTTATGCAAAATTTAATATTATTTAAATTAAATTGTTCGTGGAGATATTTGTATTATTATTTATTAAAACTAGCGGCAACGAAATATGAACAATCCATAGAAATAATAATAATAATTTATTTCCATTCATAAAAAATATGTATAGGAAATGAAACGTCGTCGTATTTTATTCAACGAACAGATTAAATATTTTATCCATTAAAATAAAAAAAATAAACCCTTCTATTTTTCCTTTCATTCCCACAGCTTCATAAAACCAGCGCCCACAGTCATTATATTAATAATTATGTAAAATATTTATTTAATTTATTTATGTATTAAAAATAAATTACGTAATCAACGCTTTCGCTTTTGTTTTAGCGTAAGCATCAAACATTGCAATAAAAGGTTAAATAATAACCATCCAAAATCTATTGGAATATTAAATAAATCAAATAAAATTAAAATTAAAAAAGGAAAAAAAAGGAATATAATTTTTTTTTTCAAAACAAACATGATTGATTTTGGAAACATAATTTTCTGAATTTATTTTAATTTATTTTTTGCATTGAAATTCTAAAATTTAATCAAATTAAAACAATTCAAACTTAGAAGGGAAAACTTATCATTAAAAGGAATAATAATAATAATATAAAATATTAATCATATTAATCCAATTGTAATATTTTGATTGGCCAGCTATGTTGGTTAAACTAAATTCAAAATATAAACATTAGATTTCTTAATACAATAAATAATATTAATATTATTATATTCCTAACGAACTAATTTGGTTAAATTACAAAATTAATTTTTAAACTTTTAAATTTGTGTATATTTGATTTCGAGAATACGGTGAATTTTTAATTTTTAATTTATTTATAATTTTATAATGTTATAACCCGTATAAGATAACGACGTTCTGTTTCTATTTTTGTTTTATAATTTATTTAATTATTAAAAATGACTTTAAAGGTAAGAAATTGATTTATATCTTGAAAATATTTAATTTCTAGTCAAATTAAAAAAATAAAAATAAGTTTTTTAAACTTTAAAAATAAAATTTTAAACATTTATAAGCTTAATTTTTTTAAAAAGTAATTATTGTAAAGATCGGCGCTTTTTATTTTACCGATAAGCATCAGCGTGGATCCATGGTGCTTCTATATAAACTACTCCAACTCGTGAACGTCTCTTTACCGAAAAACAAGTTCTGATCTTCTTCTGCTAAATCCATCTTTGAAATCATTGTCAAATCAACTCCTTCAACAGCACAAATCTGATCTCCGGCCATATTCATGGCGCTCGATGATGATGTGGTTGTAGTGAACGGCTTGAACTTCGAGCAGAGGCACGGCAAGGAACGAGTGCGAGTGGCTCGGGTTTGGCGGAACCAAGACGGCCGCCAGTTTTTCGTTGAATGGAACGTCGGCATCAGTCTTCTTTCCGATTGCGCCGCCGCGTACGTCAGCGATGATAATTCCGACATCGTTGCAACCGATACTATGAAGAACACTGTAATTGTTTCTAATGTACTCATTGTTGCACTTATGATCTGATTGTTGTGTCTCTTGTGAACCTGATTGTGTGAGTCTAGGAAGAGGAACAGAAAAGCGAGGAGTAGTATTTCTTCTTTGTGTGTGTGGGGGCGCGCGCGCGCGCGTTTTTTTTCTTTTTCCTTAATTCCGGCTGTTTGGTTGAGTTATTTGTTGCATAAGTAATAGTTAGTGGTAGAATCTGTTCATTTCAGGTTTGGTATGTAGATATTAAAATTTTTATTGCTCAACTTAGACCAGTCGCGCAGGATCTGGAGATTTGCAATCGTAGGAGAAAATAATTCTGCTGTTCTGCTCTGCTCTGCTCGATCTGTTTCTTTTCTTCTTCTTCTTCTTTTCTTGCCCTTATTATTTACTTTATTGGATCGATATGGGTTGATGCTTTGAGTGAAAGAATATCGAGCAACTTTTCTTTTGTTAGTATGGGGATTTGAACCTCTATCTCAAGTAAATTAGTATAGGTATGTTGGCTATAGATATTTGTGAAATTGAGCAACTTCTTATCTAGAAATTGTTACCAAATTTGAATAACGAGTCATCAGCGGAAATTTTTTGAAGACAGGGTTTGGAAAACAGAGCAAAGCGCCAAAATAGTCTAAGTTTTTTAATGACAACAAGAAGGATTAATTTGACATTGCGGTGGTTAAAGATGGGAATATTGATTTTTTAACGACAGCCTTATTTAGTCCAGCCGCAAGGAAAACATGGTGGGAAGGGATTCTTTGACGAGAGACTATTTTTACCTTTCTGTCATAATCGTAGTGGATCACGTTTGCTTTTTTTGGTTCTATTCCCATTACTCATACTCTTATTGTTTTAAATTCTATTACTGTTTATCGCTTTACACTTAATAGTTAATGGATTTCATTTCATTCAGGTATACGCAAAAGCCAAGGAATGTTCTGATCAACTTTCAGTGGAGGATTTTGCAATTCTTCTTGCTAAGCACTTCACATTATCTTACAAGCAGGTAAACCCCATTCTTTTTTGGTTCTAATACTATTACTCATACTCTTATCGTAATTGACACCTGTGGAGGTTGGCAACAGTTGAAGTTGTAAATAGATTTGTGTGAAATCAGAAGTTGTGGTTTTGTGGGAGTTTTAATTGGTGTAAATTCAACATAGTTAGCGGCATTAGTGGGCTTATCTTTTATCTACCCAGCACACTCACATTACATCAAGAAGAAATGACTTCTTGCTCGCTCCATATCTAGGTATACACATTATACGGAGCGGGTAAGTATTGAAAGAAACAGTTATCTCCATTTCAAAACTCTTGCTTGATCATCTAATCAGTTCTAGAATATCAATATCACATGTTTTTATTGGAAGTTGCAAGATCCATACCCTTCTATATCAAAGTCATATTACTTTGCTGATTGTAGCTAGCTTGGCTTGTGCCTTCACCATAGCAGATCTTTTCACACAACAGAAATTTAAGAAAAAAAGTATCACTGAACAATCCAGATCCATCTGGGAACTCATTGTTCTTGTTTTTACTTGATACGCCTCAGGTTTCATAAAGATCACATAAGTTTTTTTGCTGTTCAGGTGGAATCATTGTTTTTGCAGTTTGGACTAGTTCATTTTTAGCCCTATAGAAAAATGGTGGACAATTCTTGAAAATGTCGTGTCGTCAAGCTCCTATTATTAGTGATGATTTTTCTGCTTAACTTGAGGTTCTTATTGGTGGATTACCTACCTGCTTTCTGAATCAAAAATCTTTCTCTTGAAGTGGTAAAAATTGTTCAGTCATACGAACATGCATCAAATACGTCCATAGCATTTTGTTTGTTCTTCATACCAACATGCCCCCTTGAGATGTTCTCCAGCTGCATGAACTACTTGAGTAAACTTCTATGTACCACCGACTTCCAGAAAATGACGTTG